TCCTGAGTGAAGACAAAAATGTGTGTGCTGGAAGCTAAAAAAGTGTGAGCTAGCTCACACTAACTCAGCTCAGAGGGAACCCTGTGAGCAAAAAATTCTACTTTGTGAGCTCCTGGCATGAAAGTTGTGAGCGAGCGATTTCATGGCTGCATAAATTAGTTTGCTCTGGAGCCATCCTTCCTGAGCTTAGACGAAAATGTTTGCGCTGGAGGCTAAAAAAAACTGTGAGCTAGCTCACACTAATTCAGCTTAGAGGGAACACTGGTTGGCAGGGATCTGAGGGCACTTACACAGATGCACACACACACACACTCCTTCTGCTTTACTCCCCCCTCCTCTTAGCTCCTCAATGTCACATTTTAAAAAATTAAATTTAGATTTTCCAGATCTTCGGGGGCATTACTCCGAAAAGAAGCATGCGGTGCTATAAACAACTGCTCCGCCACAGAGGGAATGTCCTTGCTCTGGGTTTTGTCCTGATGGATCTGGAGTGACTCACCCCCTTTCTTTGCCCAAGAGCACTCGCCAAGAAAAAAAGAAAGACGTTTGTGTGCAGCGGGGGGGGGGGGATCATCCGTTATCCACCCTGACTCAGAGGTCTCTGTTCCTACCCATATCTGACCAAGTGAGCTCCGATTCTTGAAAGTTCATACCATACCCCAGGCGCTACTGGATTCAAATCCAGCTCTTTTTCTGCAGACCAAGATGGCTTCCCTCTGAAACTAACTCCCTGGACTATAAACCTAACTGGCTAATTCAGGTGGGTCGCCGTGTTCAGTAGAACAAAGTTTTGAGTCTGGTGGCATCTTTAAGACCAATTAAGTTGAATTCTGGGCACAAGCTTGTGTGTGCATGCCCACTTCTTCAGATGCATGCATGCACAGACAAACGTATACCCAGAATTCAACTTTGTTGGTCTTAAAGGTGCCACTGAACTCCAACTTTGTTCTAATGTAGAGGGTAAGCATATTTCGCATTAAGAGCTCTTGCCTTTGTGCGCCCTAAGGTTTCGAAAGCCAGCGGGGTTAAAATGTCCACTCCCTCCTGAAGCTGGGCAGTCTCAGGCCAAGGAACTGCTCTTACCTGCCTACCTTGCAGGACTGTTGTGAGGATAAAATAGAGATAAACCGTGCATGCGGTTTCAACCTGCTTGGAAGATAATGGTGTGTGTGTGTGTGTTAAAACAGTATTCATATATTATATGAATAGTTTGGTGTAGTGGTTAAATGTGCAGACTCTAATCTGGGAGAAGCTCTTGCCTTTGTGCGCCCTAAGGTTTCGAAAGCCAGTGGGGTTAAAATGTCCACTCCCTCCTGAAGCTGGGCAGTCTCAGGCCAAGGAACTGCTCTTACCTGCCTACCTTGCAGGACTGTTGTGAGGATAAAATAGAGACAAACCGTGCATGCGGTTTCAACCTGCTTGGAAGATAATGGGGTGTGTGTGTGTGTGAAAACAGTATTCATATATTATATGAATATCCATATAATATTATGAATATTATTCATCTATGATATCAATAATATTTTCATTCCCCCCATTATCTTCCAAGCAGGCTGAAACCGCATAAATGGTCTCTATTTTATCCTCACAACAACATCATCATCATCATAAAAATATTATTATCATATCAATAACATATTATATCAACCAATAAATTATTATAGTATTATAGTATCGATTATTATAGTATCAATAAAATATTCTCTATCGGAAGGAAGGCCGAGCGCCGAAGAATAGATTCTTTTGAACTATGGTGCTGGAGAAGACTCTTGAGAGTCCCTTGGACTGCAAGAAGATCAAATCAGTCAGTCCTAAAAGAAATCAACCCTGACTGTTCCCTGGAAGGCCAGATAATGAAACTGAAGCTCAAATACTTTGGCCACCAAATAAGAAGGGAGCACTCCCTGGAGAAAACCCTGATGCTGGGAAAGATTGAAGGTCAAAGAAGACAGGGACGGCAAAGGATGAGATGGTTAGACAGTGTCATAGATGCAATGGACATGAAATTGAGCCAACTTCAGAGGACGGCGGAAAACAGGAGGGCCTGCCGTGATCTGGTCCATGGGGTTGGGAAGAGTCGGACTCCACTGTGCGACTGAACAACAACAAATCGGTGGACCAGATCAGCAATCCTGTTGGACTCTCTGTTATCATTTTATCTTACTCTAACTACCCTCTCTACAAGGTCACAACCATCCAGGACCTTTCAGAAGCATGAGAACTGTAAACAGGTCGACACAGGAGTTGAGTTAGGTTGCTATTAGCCTAACTTGAAAGCTGAAGCGCAGTACACACTGTGTGGACACACACAGGCAGGATTTGAACTCAGCTCCATTCCTTACATGCAGAAAGTACTGTTTGGTTCCCTTAACCACTGTTTGAATTCTACCTGCATAAGTGCTGGCACACAACATTGCCGGAAAGCCGGACTCTTACCCCAAGGAACTTGCTTGTAATTATGGCTATGCGCTCTGTATATGCTCAGAGGCACTCTGACACTTTTCTCACTACTTCACCCACCCAAGACTAAGCTCTAGTCTATACTACCGTGTACTGAACATAAGGAGCTGCGGTGGCTCAAGTGGTTAAGACACTGAACTGCAGGCTGTGGAAGGTCGGTAGTTCAGCAGTTTGAGACCCGGGTGCCGCATGATGGAATGAGCTCCCGTCTCTAGTTCCAGCTCCTGCCAACCTAGCCGTTCGAAAGCAAGAAATTGCAAGTAGATAAATAGGTACCACTTCAGTGGGAAGCTAACAGCGTTCCATGCGCCTTGTGTTTAGTCATGCCGGCCACATGACCACGGAAACGTCTTCAGACAGCGCTGGCTCTTCGGCTTTGAAACGGAGATGAGCACCGCAACCCTACAGTCGGACTCGACTAGCTTTCGAGCAAGGGAAACCTTTACCTTTACTGAACATAGGGTCCTAATGTGGAATCTTTGCACCATTGAATGTGTCATGTCAATACTGGGGCTTTGCTTCAGTTCTGGTTCTAAATTTCTGGTGGGTTCCAGATTCTTTCAACTCTAATCCTGTTGTGTTATTTAATAAATATCTTGTCCTGTCGATTGCCTTGACTCCCTCTGTATCACCCAGCGAGAAAGGTGGACTATAAATAGCAGGATGACTAAGTCAAAAGACTAAACTCTGGAACTCCAAATAGGTTCCGGGCTGGAGCTCTGACTCGGGTTCAAGTCCTCCGCCACTGCAAATCTTGCAAAGCTCTCCGTGTCTCTGGAAAAGGCCCCTGATTCCAGTCAAAACTCCTGTCCAAGATTCAAATCACAGGACAACAAACACTGCCTGAAGGAAGCACTTCTACAAGCCAACAAAGTTTGAGTCCAGTGGCACCCTGGAGACCAACAAAGTTTATTTCTGGGCAATGCCCCCTCTAAGCTGTGAAGTCTTGTGAGCAAAAATGCTACTTTGTGAGCTGCTGGCATTCAAGTTGAGAGCAGGCGATTTGGCTACTGCATAAATTAGTTTGCTCCGGAGCCCTCCTTCCTGAGCAAAGACAAAAATGTGTGAGCCGGAGGCGAAAAAAATGTGAGCTAGCTCACACTAACTCAGCTTAGAGGCAACACTGTTTCTGGGTATTCTGTTGATCTTCAGCACCTTAAAGACTTGGGAAAACTGTGGCCACTGCTCACTTCTTCAGATACAGTGACTCATGAAAGGGCCTCCCCTGCCCCAAATGTTGTTAGTCTTTTAGGGGCTCCTGGACTCTCGCTCTTTTCTGTGGCTACAGACAGACGAACAGGGCGACCCGTCTGGATCTACCTCCATGGAAGGCACCAAATATAGCCATACAGAATGCGTGCACACAAAAGCTGACACCCTGAATAAAACTTTTTTTTGTCTTAAAGGAGTCCCACTAGACTCAAACTGTGACCTGCCGCTTCAGACCCACCCACCTGAATTACCTATGTTGTTTCCCCCCCAATTGAACCCAAACAGATGATAACCAGAAACGAGCTTGTCATTCTTTTGATCTGTTTCTTAAAAAAAAAATTACTAATTTTGCCTGCTACAACAAGCCACCCCCAAATATACTACTGTAGATCTGTAATTCCATTTCACTGACGAAGTGTGCATGCCCACCAAAGGTCACACCTGGGATAAAACTTGGTTGGTCTTAAAGGGGCCACTTGAAGAAAACTTGGTTGGGCTTAAAGGGAACTCACGTGTTCCCTCTAAGCCGAGTCAGTGTGAGCCAGCTCACAGTGCTTAGCCTCCAGCTCTGTCCCCCCCCAATTGAACCCAAACAGATGATAACCAGAAACGAGCGTGTCATTCTTTTGATCTGTTTCTTTAAAAAAAATCTTCACTAATTTTGCCTGCTACTTTAACAAGCCACCCCCAAATATACCACTGTGATCTGTAATTCCGTTTCACCGTCTGACGAAGTGTGCATGCCCACCAAAGCTCACACCTGGGATAAAACTTGGTTGGTCTTAAAGGGGCCACTTGAAGAAAACTTGGTTGGGCTTAAAGGGAACTCACGTGTTCCCTCTAAGCCGAGTCAGTGTGAGCCAGCTCACAGTGCTTAGCCTCCAGCTCACACATTTTTGTCTCAGCTCAGGAAGGAGGGCTCCGGAGCAAGCCGATTTATGCAGCAGCCCAATCGTTAACGCCAGGAGCTCACAAAGTAGGATTTTTGCTGGCAAGACTCCACAGCTCAGAGGGAGCGTTGGCGCCCCCGGACTCTAACTCTGATCCACCCGGATCCACTTTTACAAGTCAGAGTCACTCCCGTCAGACTCCTTCCTTCGGAGCAAGAACGCCCCAGGGCTCGGGCCCCACCGGCCTCCCCCCGGTTCCTCGCCAAAAAGGGGCGAGGCGCGGGCTCGCTGGCTCCATTCAAATCCACGGGCGTTAGAGAGCGCGACGCCGCCGCCATCGCAGCCATGGCTCTCACCCCCCACCCCCCTTTCCCAAGCCTTCCCGGTCCCCCAATCCAGAAACCGAACAAACGGAATCAGAGGCGGACAGAGACTCACCTCCGCCGCCCAGAGTTGCAGCAGGCAGAGGAAGAGGCCCCCGGAGAGAGAGCGGGTCAGTTTCATGTCAGTTTCAGCGGCGCGGCGTCCGGCCCCCTTCATCTCCCTTTCGCTCGCTCTCTCTCGCCTCTCCTCCGGGCCGGCCAGGCACGACACGCCGGGGAACCTCGCCGCTCTCCGGGCCCCGACGCGCTGCCTCCTCTTCCGAGCGGTTGCAGCTCAATGCAGCCCGCGCAATGCAGCCTTTCCAAGGCGAGCCAAAGTCTGCCAGCCGCCTCCGAGGCTCCGGATGGAAGCGTGGCTCCTGGGTCGGTTCGCAAGCGGGAGGCTTCTTCTCCGCCCGGGTCTGTCTCTCTCGCTCGCTCGCTCTAGCGCCGGGCGCTCCGCAAAGCGGCATCCGGGGCGGGCTCCGGCATCTGCGCCGCGGTCGGAAAGAAGATCCAGATGTGCCGCTTCCAGAGGCGGGAGGAGGGGGGGCGGATCTCTCCCGGTCCTCCTTTGGCCCTTCCAACGGGAAAACCCGACGGGCGGGCGGGCTTGCGCGGCGGAGGCGCTCGGGAGGGGATCGGAGGCGCTTTGGATCCCTCGCAGCTCCCCGCTCAAGCTTTTGCGAAAGACGCGCTGGGGATGGGAGTG